GCTTGCACCTGGTACACAAGGTGAACACCATGGACAAGGTGTTTGTCCTGGTCAGAAGCCTTGACAACCGCTCCCTCTTTATCAGCTAGATCAGGAGTTTCGCTGTGGAAGCCGATAACTTGCCCACCATCGAGGCTGGTTGCATCTACTTCGTGAAGCCAAACCCGACAACCAATGAGTATATTTGTCTCACCAACTGATGACTGTAGGAAACCATACTCATGGTTAATCTACTCAATGTTAATGAAGCAGAAGGCTGCATCCTCCCTCTCACCCTAGAGCAAGTCATGCAGAATTACTATATCGACAATGAGAAGTCAACAATGCTCAACTTATTAGGTGGCGATGGGTAGATAATAGTGAGTAAAATAGTGGGTAATCCAGTGGTGTAGGAAAAAATCTCATCAATAAAAGAAAATTATGATGGTTTAGCATGGCAACACGCTGAAAATGATGCACCTTTGTGGATGGAGTATGGTGAGGTTGAAGGAGGTGAGGGGATGGCAGAAACTAGGCTTTAATTTGGAGGCAAAGACTGAGTGAAGGATGTTGGTCCTAACATTTTTCCATAATATCTCTCAAGATAAAATGTGTCTAACCCATTTATTCTAAAATGGTACGATGGTGGCTATGATTTGAAGGAAAAGAGAGTATAAACCTAGATTAGTGAAACAGGACATACGATTGATCTTTATCTAGTGTCTACAAATTGAGTAGCCAATCACAAAATATGCCAGTTAAAATCAAGACGCCTCTTTAAATATTAGAAACGTGTAGTGCTGCTTATACACTCACCTGCAACACCTGTGGAAGTGCAAATCCATACACCTAAAAACAAGCACCTAGAAAGGTTTAGATCTTGTGTGCACTAGCCGGTCAATTGGTAGGGAGGTGATTGTGACGACCTCCCTATTAATGGTGTTCACCTCTTGGTTCCATGGGAGGTGCGTTAGGTGGGATGATCACGAGAGCGATGGCTTGCATAAGGTAATGGCCTACTTTCACCAACCATGAATCCATCCTCTCCACTCTCCTTGCCGGTGTCGAGGAAGAAGGTGACCATGTTGTTCAGTAGCCCTGCTGTGTGGACACCATCATGATGGCCCCAACCATTCTAGTGCTACCCCTGATGGCGAAGCTTGTCGCCTATGTCCACCACATCATGGAGTCTGCCAGGGAACTGCTCCTCGTGAGTAAGCTCTAGCGTTGGCACTTGGTACACAAGGTGGACACCGTGGACAAAGTGGTTGTGCCTGTCAGAAGCCTCGACAATCATTCCCTCTTCATCATATAGATTTGGAATTTCTCTATCGAAGCCAACAACTTGCCCACCATCGAGGCTTGCCGCATCTACTTCGTGAAGCCGAATCTAGCAACCTAGGAGTATTTTTGTCTCATCAATAGATGACTGGAGGAGGCCATGCGCATTGTGAAGCAGAAGGCTGCATCCTCCCCTCTCACCCTGGTGCAAGTCATGGTGAATTATTATATCAATAATGAAAATTTAACAATGCTCACATTATTAGACAGTGATGGGTACAAAATATTTACTTATCCAGTGCTATAGAAAAAACCTCATCGAGAAAAGAAAAGTGCAATGGTTTAGCATGGCAACATGGAGGAAAGATGCTAAGGAGGATGAGGGTGATGGCGACTCTTTGACAAGCAAGACTAGTGCATAAAAGGTTGCACCTTTGTGGATGGTGCATGTTGAGGTTGGAGGAGGAGAAGGGATGGTAGAAGCTAGGGTTTAATTTGGAAGCAAAGAATGAGTGAAGCATGCTGGGCTTGAGATTTTCTCTGAAATTTTTCTCAAGATGAAATGTGCCTAACCCATTTATTCTAAAATGGTATAATGGTGGCTAGGGTTTGTAGGAAAAGGGTATAAACCTTGATTAGTGAAAGAGGACATACGTTTGATCTTCTTCCAATGGCTACAAATCGAGTAGCCAATCACAAAACATGCCAGTTAAATCCAAGAGCCCAATTATGTCCTAATGATATGATCCCTCTCTACATTTCATGTCGTTTGCTTAATAGTACTACTTTTGTTCGATGAGATACTGTGGTGAAATCATTTGCTTTGGCTTCCAAAAAGATATGTTGCTCCCTTCGTTTTTTCATATATGACACTATTGACTTTTTGAGATACGTTTGACCCATTCGTCTTATTAAAATATTATATAATTATTATTTATTTTATTTTGGTTTGATACTTTGTTGTGTCTTGTTTATTGCTAAAATTTTCTTGTGTTACCATGATTTGAGAGTTCAGTTGCTTATGTGGCATCACCTATTTAATTATTCCATCATCTAGAATAAAATTGTATTTGATTCCAATTAGTAGTTCACTACTCAAAAACCTGTGCGCTGCATGGGATAGTATTTTAATTACATTTTTACTATCATGTTCAAGAAAATGACTTTCAAATATAAATAACTAAAATTAATTCCAAATCAGATATTAAAGTTTTAATTATTTGTAGGCCCATATTATATTATGGTGGTTTGCTTTACTTTTTTTTTCAAGTGAGCTCTAATAGTGTTTAGTACACTTTTGCTAAAACTCATCAGTTTTTTTCCTGGGTTATATCTTTTCAGAAGAAACTGGGAGACCCTTTTCTGTTTGCATATGTGGTTTTACTCTTTTTTTATATATATAGATATGAAGCTAATATCTTTCTTCCTCTAACACAATGTAGATTTTCTTTTAGTGGTTGGGGGGAAGGGGTAATAATTCTGTCCATTAGTAGGTTTCTTCTTTCCTCTAAGTGCTTCTTGGCGTTTGAAAGATCTTATTAGATAAACTAGTGAGCAGTCCACTTTATGAAGGTTTTGTCCAACTGGTCATAGGTGCCGGATATCCTAACCGGCACCTTTGATTTGTTGGTGTCGGATCTACAACCAGCACCTATAAAACATATCGGTGCCCATTTTATGTAAAGAACTGGTACCTATACTGCCATATAGGTGTCGGTTCTTAAATCGACTGCCACGTGGACAACCTTATAGGTGCCGGTTGTACTAGTTCTTGAATACAACCGACACCTATGAGAAGTATATAGGTGCTTGTTGTAGACCGCGTAGGACACATGGCAATTTTATAGGCGCGGGTTTGTAAGAAAAATTGGCACGGCACCTATATCTTGGCAAGAAAAAAATGGCAGGAGCTCCAATTTCACATACAAATCACACAATAATAGAACTTCACATCAATTCACACCCATTCATCAACATACAACCACATTCACATTCATCCAAAATCTATTCAATTCCATATCCATCATCAACATACACACATTCGCATTCATCCAAATTCACCCATTCATCAACATATGCACGTGCCTAGTCCATTTATCGTAAAACTATATGTTGGTGGCTAGGGTTTGGAGGAAAAGAGCGGATGAGAGAGTTAAATCTAGATTAGTGAAATAAAGACTATGTATGCTAGATCTTGATCCAATGGCTACAAATTTAAGAGTATGCACATTAGATCTTGATCCAACTGGTGCAGTTTGAGTGGCCAATCATTTTGTTGTGTGATTTCGTTTCAATGAGATATTGTGTGATCTTGTTTTGCTTTTGTTTTGAAAAAAACTTGTTGTTTGGAGATTATACTCGCAAGCCTTCTTTATCATTTTGATTGGAATTTGCCTAATGGAACAGGCATATATGAGCTAGATATTACAGAAACATATGGGGTCACTGCGCATCGCCGAACTGAGCTTTTGCTCAAAGCTACTCCAGTGTATGCATGATTGGTCGGTACACCTAGTCAGATATGTACTGTCAAGACAAATGTCTGGTCTCTTAAGGCCCTCTTTGTTTAGGCTTAGGCTTATTGGCCTAGACTTTTAAGTCAGCTTATTGGTTTATATGATTTATAAGCCAGTGGATTTAATGTCCTAAGTTTAGTGGTGGAGTCATACATCTATCTCATATAAGCCAAAAAAAGCTTCTCCAACCTAGCTTTTGGCTTAATAGTGTTAGAGTGGCTTATGGCTTAAAAAAGCCAAATGAAAAAGCTACTTGTTTATTTTGGCTTAGACTTTTCGACTTATAAGTTGGCTTATAAGCCTAATCAAAGAGGGCCTAAACACTGTCCATGTTTGCCTACTTTTGTTTATATTATAAATAAGAAATGCAAAATGTGGCCACAGCGAGTCGATTTGAGACCCTGAAGATGTACCCAAGTTTGATGTTTGCTCAATATAGCACTCGCAAGTCTTCTCTGCCATTTCAACTAGGAGTTATCGGGTTGTGAAACCAAAAGGAGCTAGACATGAGTGAAGTGGTCTGAAAGCTTCTCGACACACTGATCTTTGCCTAGAGGCAACTCCTTTGTTGCCACAGCCTGTTGGATCTTACGATATTTCTTGTAGGAGCACTGGAACAGCTAGCCACGTATCTTTCAGAAAGAACAGCTAAACGGTGTGTTTGCAAGGGGGTGTTCCCAACACTTTCCTCTCGTTTTCTGCGCACACGCTTTTCAAACTGCTAAACGGTGCGTTTTTTTAAAAAAGTTTATATACGAAAGTTGTTTTAAAAAAATCATATTGATTCATTTTTGAAAAAAAAATAGCTAATACTTAATTAATCACGTGTTAATAGATTACTCCGTTTTCCGTACGCACTATACATGTTCCCATCCTCCCGTAGCAAACACAGAAGCTGCTTTCGGGAGGAGGGGTTGGGAATCTCCTTCCCGGTACGCAAAACGAAACATGTATTATTGCATGATTAATTAAGTATTAGCTTTTTTTAAAAAAATAGATTAATTGGAATTTTTTAACTTTCATATAGAAAATTTTTGCAAAGAAACACATCGTTTAGCAGTTTAAAAAACGTGCGCGCGGAAAACGAGGGAGATAGGTTGGGAACTTAAAGGTAAGAACACAGCCTAAGAAAAGCTCCAGATTACCCACTGCAGGTGGTATTATATTTGTGGGTCACAAACCCTGGGTCAGCATCCTGCGTATAATTCCAGACTTATACCAAGCTTAACATAATTGCACTTAGCTTAATAGTAAACAAACATAGTTGATAGGTGTGCTTGCTAGCGTCAGCATGAAGAGCAAATACAAATTATACAACAGCTTGTCGTTCTGAATATTAGAAAGTAAATTGGCTACATGAAACGTTTGTATATTTCTCATTTTCTGCACATCGTCATCTATAACCAACAAAATACTCGGGACTCAGGGTTTAGGTCCCTTCTTTAAATTTAAAAGCATTAGCAGAACAAAATGTCAGTAAAATTCTGGTGCTATGTTAACCTTGGACGCACCCATGGGAATGTTGAGTTTACTTGCTTTTGTTAACGGGAAGGTAGACGCCCTCTGTTGCCAACCAAATATTTTCAGCTCGCTTCTCTCTAACGCCACATACCTGCAAGATAAATGCTACAACTTAGCAAACAAATTTCCAACCAAATCACACTTGGTACCTAGAGAATTTTGTTTTCACATATGGTAGCAAACCTACATGATATGCTTTTTTTTTTTACTTTGTTCCAACTAATACATACTCCCTCTAGATTTGAGTTTTTTTTTTTTTGGACAGAGCGAGTACAATACACGGTAACTAATAAAAAGATGTGATAGATACAATATGCATTGAATTAACTAAAAGTTCATACCAACTATTAAGTAAAAATGTCACATCCACAAACCCAGTCACTCAAATATCCCTATAAAGTTTTTGCAATACCATACTTGTACTATAACCGTGTAATGATCTAGGATTAGTTTGTTTCTGCTAATCTACCATCTAACACTTACTCATAATCTGGAGGCAGGAAATAAACCATTTACTAAACTCACCTCTTGCTGCCCACCACCAAGCCTGTTGTACTTCTTGTTGTGACTGTGCAGATAACCTCCAGTATCAACATGTCGGAGTCTTACTTTCTGATCCTGTTTCCATAGCTTTCCACCTCCCTCAATCTCCAGCCTGCAGGACACCCCAAAAAAAAAATCCACTAAGCCATACTAACCAACCAAATGGCATTTATATTGTGAGCCTTAAGTAATTGCACCTCCAATAATCTCCAGTATCTGATTGTCCATCCCCACCAAAACAGCTAACCTGTAAAATCACACATACAAACCTCAGGGATTATATTTGAGAAGATAATGCAAAAGAAACGCAAGACATAGAACTTGCAATATTATCCTAATTTAGCAGTGAACTAATAAGTACGGTAATTTCTTCACAGTAAGATAAATCGATATATATTCGTAACATACTTAATCCTGACATACTCATACTTAACATGCACTGTAATGTGGTGTGACCATTGTAAACCACTTTGCTTCAGATCAGCAATGTTCAAACTTCAGGACAAAATTAGCTCTAAAACAAGGACAGCAACAACTACTGGTTATTCAAGTTAACAAAGCACCGTACTATGGAAGATATACTAATGGTAGTTTTAGTCTCATTAGTTGCAAGCAATTCTAGGCACTGTTGGCCATGTAATTCATGAACATTAGCAAATCCAGACAGTGGATGGCCGAATGATGTACTATTGCTTCTTGTTTTGTGTTCTTGTTTTCGGATAAAATACATATCAAATTGGCAGATACGCTGTCATCTTTCAGCTGGTGTGTACAACAATATGAGATCAGCTAGACACAATATGTCCACAGATAGGGAAGGATAAAGTAGGTCTTCTAATCCCATGTACTATTACTGATAATCATTTGAAGAGAGCTCAATCAGTTTGAAGAGCACTCAAGCTTTTGGGAAAAAATAAACTCAGAATATAACAACTGAGGTCCTATGAAATTTTAGGAACTAAATGTTGCCAGATATCACATGGGATATTCATGTTGAACCAACCTCTAGGTTACCGGATAATGGTGAAGCATGCAAGTGGCTATGTAACCATTTCCGTGTCCTCATGTGTTGCAACCTGATGATGCTACCGGTTTCAATGGCATCACCCTGTTTAGCTGATGAATCTGGAGAGGGCCGCACGATCTGCAGATATACAAGTAATCAAATAGCATCAGAACCCTGATTATGTCTGATTGGACTACTCACTACTTGAATGGCAATCATATTCACTTCAGAATGTAACTGCTAATTCTTCAGACGATAAATAATAAAGTTTTGTTATTTGGGGTTGAGATGTGATCCATCATCCTACACATATAATAGCAGTAACTACATAAATACACAAAAATTCTTTTGGGCAGTTTCCATAATTTGAACAATATAGGTGCCATTGCTTACATATCTCAGTTTGATAATTAGTGTTTAGATATTCTATTGCCAGCAGGATTCTACACCCTCAAATCAACACTGTTGAGCACATTTTTAAACCGTCACAACTCCCAAGCATATTTGCACACTGAACTCAAATCAATGTGTACCATAGAAAAAAATCTATTAATGTGAGTAGATACTTGCATTCAGATCAATATTGAATGGTTGGTTCAATCACATGTTGGCTTGTACAAATAGGTAGGGATCAAATCAAGAGCCCTATTATAACATGAACGAGAGGAATTACGGATCTACAGAATGAGACGCACCCAGTAGCTATTGGAATCATCGACTTCGGGGAAGCCAGTGACGGACTGCTGGCCGCTGCCTGAGCCATACGGCACATCGTGCGAGTGCAGCCGGTGCTTCGTCTTCTCGTGCATCAGCTTGATGGTGCTCCCATAAGCCACCTGCAACGCCACCACACAGATCCAGATCACACCCGAACCCCTAAATAAATAAAAAAATTCGCAGATCTCGAGATCGGGGGGAGGCAGGAGGCAAACCTCGACGCCCTCCGCCGCCGGGGAGGCGGCCGCGGCGCCCCTGTCGACCCCGTAGCCGCTGGCGCCGAGGAGGAACGCGACGGCGAGCGCGAGAACGGACGCGGCCATCGCGACGGCGGCCGCGCTACGGGACCCCTGTCGCGGATGCGGCGGCGGCGGCGGCGAGGAGGATGAAGGCGTCGAAGAGGCGGAGGAGGCGGAGCTGGCTGTGCCTCTCCTCTTGGCTGCTGCGGAGGCGGCGCCGGCTGAGGCCGGCGGTGCCGTGGCCGCGGGCGGGGAAGCGCGAGGCGCTCACGGTGGCGGTCGATCTCGATCTCTCTCGCGCGCGCGGCGGGCGTGGGGTGGGCGTGTGCGTGTCGCGGCCGTTGGGAATCGGGATTTTGCCGAGTCGGGGACGGGGGGAGGAGGAGGAGTCTCCGTGGGCGTGGAGAATGGGGGAAGTGGGGAAGCTATACGCGTTTGGGTCGCTGGGGACTGGGGCCCAGAGCCCCTCCACGTGTAGTGGGCGAATGGAGGGACGGCACGTGGCACGGACACGTCGAAGCTTGGTGTGCAGACCGTAGGATGCATGATGGGCGACTTGGATGCAGCGCGGTTAAGGTCGCATGCGTTAATGGGCCGTGGCTTTTTGGTCTGTACTAGGATCCATTCTTGAAAGGGATAAGTCTATTTTACCTTGCTCAACTTATGCGGGAGAGCTAATTCACGCGCGTGCGCCGGCGGCGCGCGTTTAGGCCCAGAAAGCCCAGCGCCAGCGCGCGCGGGGACAGCGTTTCTTTTTTTTTTTCGCTTTTCTTTTTTTTCCGTGATTTTTTCCTTTCCTTTCCTTTTTTCGATTACTTTTAGAAAAAAATTTCGCCTTCTTTTTTCCGTGATTTTTTCCGCTTTTTATTACTTTTTTTTAATCTTCCAACAACACGTGTTTTTTAAATGTTTTGTGTTGAAAGTTTTTAAAAATTAACTTAAAAATTTTTAAATCTCGAGCTGAAAGTTTTCAAATCTCAAGTTGAAAGTTTCCAATCCTGAGTTGAAAGTTTTTAAATCCGAGTTAAAAGTTTTCAAACCCGAGTTGTCAGGGTTATGGATACCACATACCTAATAGTAGTTGACTAAATCTCGGTAGGACCCACCACATACCATATCTTATACGGAAACAACTTTCGGATATAGGAAGAGTTCCGCATAAGGAAGGATGAATAGACTTCTACATGGAAACGACAAGGACTACTCCAATTGTATCCATATTGGTTTCCCTAGTTCTACTTGGACAAGGGGACACCTATGGGTATAAATACAAGGCCCCCTAGGAGTAGAGAGGACACAATCAACATACACGGAACAACATAAGCCAACATACGCCAAGACAAGACGCCGGATATTGACTTCAGAGATAAACATGGCTAGTCCCCTACGGTGCCTACGGATACCGTCAGGAGAGACATAGCACTGTCTTTGATCTCGCCGGACACGAATTTGAGGAGGAAGACCACTTTGTTGTCGACTACGTGATGATACTTCAAGCCGCTATATCGACAACAGATAGATAGGCTACCTCAAATATTGTACTAGTGTGATTATGGTGAATAAGAGCAACGACCGGCTTCGGCCAACAGGATGTAGGGCTATTACCTGATAATTCAGGGGCCCGAACCTGTATAAAAATTCTCGTCTCTGTCTCTTTTACCTAAGTCTCGCATATATCCTGGTACCAACGATCCCCATACTGTGCAAATACCAGAATCGCGACATCAAACGTCGACACGAGTTGAAAGTTTTCAAAATCCTGAGTTGAAAGTTTTCAAAACCGAGTTGAAAGTTTTCAGAATCCTGAGTTGAAAGTCTTTAAATCCGAGTTGAAAGTTTTCAAAATCTCGAGTTGAAAGTTTTCAAAATCTCGACATGAAAGTTTTCAAACCCGAGTTGAAAGTTTTCAAAATCTCGAGTTGAAAGTTTTTAAACCCTAGTGGAAAGTTTTTTCAAATTTGAGATGAAAAGTTGAAAGTTTTCAAATTTTGGCTTCAAAAATTCAATTTCCGAGTTGAAAAGTTTTTAAATATAGACTGAAAGTTTTCAAAATTTGACTTCACACATAGATTTTTTTTCAATCTGTTACTTAAAAATATCTTCTAGAAAAAAAGTATTATCTTAATTACCGTCGTTATCTAAAACTAACATGTTAGTTACGTTAGATATACTCATCGAAAAAAAATCCACCGGCATACGCGATAAAAAAAACCACAAAAAAAAATAAAAATCCGAAAGTGAAAAAAAGAGTAATAGAAAGAAAAAAAAAAGAAAACCTACCCTAGGGGCTGCGTGCGCGTTGCCGGCGCGCACGCGCCAACTAGGAAGCCCCCAACTTATGCCCTGATTGAATCACATCCCTTAACCGCAAAACCGGATATAACTCATCCCTAAGTCCCAAAATTGTTACAAATCGACTCCCCGGCGGTTTCGTCCGACATGGTATCTTTGACCCTGTTGACTGGCTGAATCAGCTTGTGGGACCCACATGTAAGTGACAAGGATAAAAATGAAAATGGTGGGGCCCACTGATCAGCTCCACCACAGAGGGATGGGATACGGCTTGGCGCGGCTCCTCCTCGTGGCGCTCGCCGCGCTCTCGCTGCTCGCCATGGGGGGCTTGGACGACCACCATGCCGGCCTTAGCCTCGCCGCGCTTCCGCGTGATGGGATGAGCGAGCCGGCTGGTCCAGCTGGAGAAGGTTTGTCGGCATCCATGCAAGTAAACAGCGAGGGTGTGCGCTTGCCTTGCCAACCTCGGTGGCAACGCCGTTCTTACCGTCTCCGGTTTCCGGTGCCGCCACCGAGATAGAGGCTGAGGCGATAAGGGACGATGGAAGGGGGCGCAGAGGACAGCGATGGTCATCGAGGTGCTTCACCATCTGACGACGAAGGAGATTGACGAGGGTTCCGGCCGCCACCATGTCGGACCCCTTCTTTTTTGCCATTGTCAAGGCCCCACCCATGCTTGAACGGCCAGATTTGGTGCCCTGCTCGAGCTAGGACGAGGGGATGAGAGGAAAGGGGAGGCGACGACACTGAGTCGAGCTGGGAAGAGGGTAGGAGAGGGCAGGGATGGCGTCACCACAGCACCACCACCTCGACGTCCATTGTCGCCACAGGCCCGCAAAACTCCACCGACGGCTGATGATCTCCTCCCCACACGCGTTGCGGTTGGCTGACGAGCTCCTCCTTCCATGCGCGGCCAGCTGGCTGCCAAGCTCTTCCCCCGTGTGCCGTCGCCACCATCCTGCCTCTATACTAATGAAAGGTGAGAAAAGATGAAGAGATGAAAGAGAGAGAGGGCGGGAGGAGAGGGAGAAGATGGGATGAGGTGCAGGGCACTGACAAGTGGGTCCACATCGGACGAAACCACCTTCGAAACTGCTTGGGGTGTCGATTTGCAACGGTTTTAGGAGTTGGGGGACGAGTTATATCTGGTTTTATGGTTAAAGGATGTGATTCAACCAGTGGCATGAGTTGAGGGAGGCAAAATAAACTAATTCCTTCTTGAAATGTAATGTTCTCTATAATAGGATGGCCCAATGAATAGGTAGTTTCTCTATAGGGATAAGTCCATTTTACCCACTCAACTTATTGCGTTTGCATGAACAAAAAAACGTCCTTTTAACTCCAAAATCGGATATAACAAAACCCTTAACTTTTAAAACAATTATATTTAAACCACCCCCCTTCTTGCAGCGCACACACACCCTCGGTCTCAACCAAAGTAATTTTTGCCTACGTGGCATTGACATGGTGGCCCAATCAACCTTTAAGTTTAAAATATAGCAGAACCCACCTTGTAGTGACCATCTTTCTCCACCTCCTCCATTTTCTCTCGATCTCTCCTCACAGTCCCGTAGTCCCGTTGCACCCACCACCTACTGTTGGTGGGCTTTTCGCCTCTTCCCGAATAGCCACCACTGTCAACGGGGCTCCTCTTTGAGGACCAGCCATCTCATCATAGAAAGAGGGAGGGGTAATGATCTAGCGGCAGGGATTGTGCGGCGGCGTTGATCTGGCGAGCAGATGGTGGCGTTGATCCGTGATGGAGGGCTTGCATCAGCCTGATACGGTAAAGGGCAACACTACTCTAAGGGATATCATGATGAAGGAAGGAGTTAATCTGGTGGAGAGCACGTCCACAACCATGTAGCCTGCTGGTAGAGTCGGCATCCCTCCTAGTTGTAGGGTGCTATCTTTGGTGGTGGACTAGGCCATAATGTCGAGGCCTCAGTAGTAGAGAAGGATGTACGGTTGCCGCTGACGTGTGGCTCCCATCTTTGTTTATTTGTTTTGATGTTGAATGGATTGTCATGTCAACACCACAGTTAAAAACCACGTTGGTTTAGACCATTAGGGTTAAATCGAAAGGTTCTAAGAATTGAGGGTGTGTTATACCTGGTATTAGAGTTTTTTTTTTAGAGTTTTGGGCTGTTTTTCAATATATTAACGTAATACTAGGTAAGGGATGTTAAATGAACTCCCAGAGTCAACGTTATGGAAACATCAGGCTCCCACAGAGTTAAATCTGGTAAGTCCCACAGTGCACAGGGGAGTATTATTAATGCAGCAACCGGGAAAACATTGGGCTAGGTACGTGCCGATCCACAGAGAGGAACATTTAAAAGAATCGAGATCAATGGTCATGTACTGCTCAGCGATCCACAGACAGACCACCTGCAGACCTGCCTTGGCTTGGCTGCTTCCCTTTCCAGCGTGCTGAAGCTGAGCAGAGCTACCGACGAGTCCAAGATTCAGCACACAGATCACACGACCGTGCCTACACTTCAACACTTGTACCTACACTTCAACACCTGTACTAGCAGCAGCCAGCAAAGTGCCCGAGCGATCAACCTGCCACTTCTTTCTGGTGCTACTAGTAACAAGGAGTAATAAAGTGGAGTACACTTCTTCCATCCAAAAAAAAATTAATCTAAAATTGAATTTAACATAATCCATTATAATAAATCTGGACGAAACTTCTAGATTGAATCTTTTAGGGCAATTACAAATTTACCACTATTTTAAATCGTTATTGTAAAATTATCACCAGAAAATTACAAAAATGCCACTAGAATTATCATTCGAGTTGCATCCTTGCAATATTAGAAAAACCGATGACAAATTTGTAAATACCCCTTGATCTTTTGTGGGACGGATAAAGTAATTCAGACAGTGGGTAGGTGCCCCTTGGTTTGCTGGTGTTAGCCTTTTTCATGTGAAGAATCATCAAACGTTTGGATCATTCATTTCAACAGCCGGCTGCCCGACCGGCTGCCGATGCGACTACGCAACTGAAAAATCTGTACTCCTACCTGGCTGCAGGGCACAGCAGGTGGCAATCTCATTCTTCGGGTTGGTCACGAGACCTGCAGCTATCTACGG